GAGGAGGCCTAGTCTGTGCGATCTGATCGGTCTATGGGAGGTAATTGGCAGGAGGCGGAATCCACCACTGCAAGAGATTATGGGGTCATTAAAAGCCGATAATAGTTAAACAAAGCATGGGTTAGTGTGAAGAGACAGAATAGTCTCTTCTGATTCAAATAATGTAATGATGATAACAATGAGAGACAGAACTGATTTTAAGTACACCCTAGTACATTAAAATAATATTATAATGTTACTTTCTCTCTTACTAGTTTTCTTTCGCTGTCATCTTTTTTATCTGTTTTATAACTACTAGTTAAGACCTTTTAAATTTGTTGTCCACTATCCTTTACAGCGAACTCTTTGCTTGGGTTTTCAAATGTATCACAATAATCTTCTGACTTTCGAAAGTAAGCATTGCTCTTTGATATTTCACTACGTGGGATTTGTTCTTTTTATTTCTGTAGTTGAGAAAGTAGCAAACGAAAGCCAAAAGACTCCTCGGGATGTTGTTATGATGGAGAACTTTCACCATATCTTTGCAACGCTCTCTCGTTTGAAGATCTCCTGCCTGGAGGCTGAAAAAAAGGAAGGCAAACAGCAGTACACAGATTACCTGCAGTCATACGTGATTTACTCTTTGGGACAGCCACTTGAGAAATTAAATGTAAGAATTTTTTTTTAAATTCTTTAATTCTGGGTTAAAACCAAAAATACATACATTTATAAAATACGGATATAGTTTTCTCTCCTTCATTAAATATTCATTTTTCAAATCATTCTGATAATGTGAAACTAATTTCTAAGAGCAGGTTTCTTAGAGTGGGAAGAAGTGATAAAATATTCCTCTGAATAACTCTAAATCAGGGATGGCTAACCTTTTCCAGACTGAATGCCCAAAGCTTAGGCTCAAACCCCCAAAATTAAATGCGTGCATTCCCCCGGTGCATGGCCTCCGCACATGCCCTGTCCCCGCACATGTGTGCAATCCCCCTACATGTGCATGTGACCCCACCCTCGCACTTGTCCCATCCAGTGCGCATGCACAGCAGAGACCCAAAGACCAGCTGGCTGGCAGGAGACACATGTGCATCAGTGGTGGGTTGCAATTTTTTTTACTACTTATTATGTGGGCGTGGCCTATTTTGTGGGTGTGGCTTAGCGGTCATGTGACTGGGTGGGCATGGCCAACTTGATGTCACTCACCAGGAGATGTCACGGATTGGGTAAAATGTGGTGAAGCTCACTTAACAACGCTCTTGCTTAGCAACCAAAATTTGGGGCTCAATTGTAGTCATAAGTCAAGGACTACCTCTGCCTTCCTCTTCATGGCAGCCTTTGTAAGTAAACTCCCTCTCCTTTCTGGCAATTTTCCTCTCTGTTAGAGACACTAAAATAATCCAGACAATGTAAGGTTTCCTGCTGCAGCAGAGGGTTGGACTAGATGACCTCTGAGTAGCCGCCTAGCCCTAAATTGCTGTGTTGTTTTTCTTTCTTTTCTTTCTTTCTTTTTTCTTTCTTTCTTTCTTTCTTTCCTTTCTTTCTTTCTTTCTTTCTTTCTTCCCTTCTTTCTTTCTTCCTTCCTCCCTCCCCCCCTCTCTCCTTCCTTTCTTTCTTTCTTTCTTTCTTTCTTTCTTTCTTTCTTTCCTTTCTTTCTTTCTTTCTTTCTTTCTTCCCTTCTTTCTTTCTTCCTTCCTCCCTCCCACCCTCTCTCCTTCCTTTCTTTCTTTCTTTCTTTCTTTCTTTCTTTCTTTCTTTCTTTCTTTCTTTCTTTCTTTCTTTCTTTCTTTCT